TGGAATATGATAAGCACAAAAGAAGCACAATATGAGATAGGAGGACATGTCAGTGGATTATCAGCATAGGAAATCTTACTTTTATGCCTTCTGAGCTTATATCTTCATTATTCTTCTTCACTCATTCCACATCCCAGACCAACCTGATTACTTGCTATTCCCTGAGATGAGTGTTTCATCTCCTATTTTCATGATTTTTTAAAAATTAATTAATTTATTTGTAGTTTTCAACATTCACTTCCACAAGATTTTGAATTTCAAATTTTCTCCTCATCTTGTCCCTCCCCCCACCCCAAGATGGCATATATTCTAAGTACCCCTTTTCCTAATCTGCCCCCCCTTCTATCTCCCCCCCCCTTCTCTTATCCCCTTCCCCTTCAATTTTCCTGTAGGGCAGGATAGATTTCTATACCCCATTTCCTGTATATCTTATTTCCCAGCTGCATGTGAAAACAATTTTTTTTAACTTTTGTTTTTAAAATTTTGGGTCACTTTCATCATTTTACACAAACTTCTGTTCTGTCTAGGTTATATATATCCTCTCCTCACCATCAACTCTAAGAACCTCTAGCTTACTTCAAGACTCAGGTCAGGTGTCAACTTCTATTCAAGGCCTTTCCTGATAGTTGTTCATGCTTTCTCTCCATTTACATTGTCATGAATATAGTATCTGTTTATAGGATGTATCCCACCAAGAGAATGTAAGTTACTTGAACGCAGGGACAGTATTTCATTTTTGCTTTTGTATTCCTAAGGCCTGGAACAGTTCCCTGCACATAGTACGAGTTTAAATGCCTGGGTTAGATTATAGTAAACTTAGAATCTCTAGATAAACAAGCATAAGTATATTTCCAGACTATCCTCACTTTGCCTCTATGTGTTTGTGTATGTGTGTGTGTGTGTGAGATATTTATGTTTATAGGGACAGCTATGTTTATAGGTGACACAGTGGATAGAATGCCAGACCCAGAGTCAGCAAGACTCATCTTCCTGAGTTCAAATCTGGACTCAAACACTTACTACCTATGTGACCCTAGGCAAGTCACTTGATCCGGTTTGCCTCAGTTTCCTCATCTGTAAAATGAGCTAGAGAAGGAAATGGCAAACCACTCCAGTATCTTTGCCAAGAAAACCCATATGGGGTCACAAAGAGTCTGATATGACTGAAAAACAACTAAACAGCAATAAGAACAAAAATATATTTATATGCATGTATATGAGTGTATGTATGTATATATATATGTGTGTGTGTGTATGTTTGTGTGTATATGTGTCTATATCAACAGAAATTCTTGTAAATAACTATTCAATTCAACTTCTAAGAGTATGTTATAGGCCTTTGTGAGGCTTACATAATAGGCCACATATAGATACGTCTACTTGTTCATCTATAAAGTGGAGTGCCTGAGCTGTATTATCTTTTAAGGTCTCTTCCAATTGTAAATGCAATACATATTTACAAATACACACACATATTCACAATATACATTTTAAACATATCGCTCATCCTGGGCTATACATCTAAATGTGAAGGGCCGCATGATCAGTGGAAATTAGTACAATCACATCTGTCTGTCTTGGTGTATGCAAAGATAAAGACGTGTCTCTATGCCTGTCTTTGTGCTTGTGTGTCAAATTGGATAATATTTGTAAAACTCTTAGTACAATGACTGATGTACAATAGGCACTATATAAATGCTTATTTCTGTCCCTTTCCCCCACATCTCCATTTTCTTTTCTTTTTTTTAATTTTTAAAAATTTTAAATAATTTATTTATTTTTAGTTTTCAACACACCTTAATTTTCAACTTGTTTCCTTTCTCTGTCCCCATATGTAGAAATGAACAGCAGTGGTACCAGAAATGGCCAGATGAGGGCACTGTAGGAATGGTGAGAGAATACAGGCTATGTTAACAAAATCCAGTGGTGGGATTGATGCAACTGGTCAGGTTGTCCTCCATTTAGTTCAAGACATGGAAGAAAGAGAGGCACTCTTTTTTTTTTTTTTTTACTAAAGACAGACTGTATCATTTAAATTTTCTACTTTGTTCAGATTGATCACAAATAATTTCATTGTTGAGATTTTGGGGAGAATAGTATATTTGATTTCTTAGGTTCCTATTGTGAGTGATCAAAACAGTCCTCTTTGAGCAATGCGCCCCCCCCCCCAAAAGTAGGGAAAAGGTACAACAAGCAAAATTTTGTGAAAAAGCCATACAATTCAGATGCAGTACCAAGGAGAGAACTGAAGGGGGCATTGTCCCTTACTCTATAAATGTGTCCTCTCACCCTTCCTACCCCACAATTTATTTTTGCTGTCTGTGATATGTGGTGATAACTTTCAGAGAGATTGCTATAGAATGTGACCAATCTAAATCTTACAGGTCAAGCTAATTTTATGATCATTGTCCAATTGTGAATGACAGTAAGCTCTTCATGTATTGCCTTATCAAATACATTAGCTGAAGACTGACAATACCTTCAGTTACAAACTGGTTTTGAAAAGATAAATGTTGAATTTGATTGAGAGCTAATTTTGTGAGTAGCACAAATTTTGCAGCTAGGTGGCTCAGTGAATAGAGCACCAAGCTTGGAATCAGGAAGACTCATCTTCCTGACTTCAAATCCGGCCTCAGACACTTACTAGCTGTATGACCCTGAGTAAGTCACTTAATCCTATTTGCCTCAGTTTCCTCATCTGTAAAATGAACTGGAGAAGGAAATGGCAAGCCATTCCAGGATCTTTGCTTAGAAAATCCCAAATAGGTTTACAAAGAGTCAGGCACAACTGAAATGACTCAACAACAACCATGACAAACACAACACCACCAACACAAATTTTAGCAACTACAATAAACATTGTGCCTACTGAATGTCCTGCATACATAGACACAGATTCTACCTTCAAGGAACTTAACTATAAGATACCACTAATCATTTATTTTCCTGAATTCAGCGCTTTGATGAAACACAAGTAATGATAAATAAAAAGAGAAGGACCATAATTGTTGATTCTGCATGGACTTGTATATGTTTAGACTTAGTATAATGGGAAGAAATTTAAGGGGGGAAAAAAGAGCAGTTAGGTTGCAAATACAGGAAATACATTTGGACCAGGAGGATGTTTTAGGGGAGAAGGAAAACAAGTTTCCTATGGAAGTGTTCATGCTTTTTACTCAATATATGAAAACTTTACCTGGAGCAGGGACTTTTAACGTGTGTGTGTGTGTGTGTGTGTGTGTGTGTGTGTGTGAGTGAGACAAGCCCCTTTGATGGTCTTAGTGAAGCCTATGGATTCCTCAGAATAATGTTTTGAAATGTATAAATTAAAATATCCAGGATTACAAAAAAACAAGTATATTGAAACAGAGTTATAAAATATTTTTTTATAAAAAGTGCTTGAACCCCTAAATTAAGAACTTCAGACCTAGAAGAAACACAAAGAGGAGGTGGGTGAATACATGCAATCTTTCTGGGACTTGAGACACTATAGAATGGGGGCCCCATAGAGTCTATGGAAAAATTTCAGGAGATCTGTGAAGTTGGTTGAGGGGGAGAAATGGTTTATTTATTTTGACTAAACATTAACTGAAATTTAGCATGTACTATATTTTTAAATTTAGCTTTTTTTTTAAAATGCTCTGCAAAGAACTCAAAATGGACTTCACCAGACTGCCAAAGGGGTTCCTAACACAACAAGGGTTAAGAAACCCTGTTTTAGACTAGGCCAAAGTGACTTAATCAGCTTGATTGGATTTGCATAGACTTCCATTTCAGATTAAGTTGCTTCTAAGATAATTGTGACTTTCCTGGGCATTTTTGTAACAGTGAACCAAATGGAAACTGGTATTGTTCATTGATTTGAGACAAAGCAAATAAGGTGCTATGAATCTTACAATGTGATCAAGGGCTAACAGAGCAAAACAGCCATATAAAACATGGTAAGGAAATGACTTTTCATCTAAATTTGCCGATTCACAAAGAGTCTCAAACAAAAGTTTCTTCAATGAAAGATGCTCCTCCTTGTGTGTATGTGTGAGTGTATGTATGTACGCACGGTTGTGTGTGTTTAATCAGTTCTTAGGATCGCACTTGAAAAACAGCATAGATAAAATTGGGAAAATAGCCTTTGAAATCAGCCATCCAAATGTGTAAGCCTGACGGTATGCTTTTTGGCCTCCAGGTGGTGGTGTTTACCTACGTATGGAAAGCTGGGCCATTGTCATTATCCATCTCTCAGTCAGGTTCACGTTGGGCTTTCAGTTTTTCAAATTATTTTCAGTTTCTGCAGATGTGTTCTTTTGAATGGTTCCAATAAATTTTTATAGCCACTATTTGAAAAATAGTAGGATTATTGTGATTTGTGCTTTCCAGCCAAGAACATTTCTTTATGACCAGAACACCTCCGGAGAGTTAGATCTTCATATTAGCTTCTTGGTTTCTCCTCTTCCAGCCTTGTCCTGCTTTCCTTCCAAACACCAGCACTTAGCCTCAGATATTGGACTGTCAGGAGGGCTTCTCAAAGCATTATTGAAACAGTTCCCTGATTTTTGACTAAATTTCTGACTCTGTTTAAGGTTATCCAACCTCTCAATCTTTCTTTTCATTTAAGCCTGAAGAGAATGCATAGTCTTTCATGGGGATGGATCTTGTCCCTTAAGTATAAGTTCCTGTGATTTATTGTTGAGGGGAATAAAAGACTATAGTATCTCTAAGTGTCTGTTACCATTTGAAAAAAACTCAACTCATAAACCAATGTAACCTAAATCTGGTAGACTATATTTGTAGGAATAAATGCAAATTGGTCATTGGTAATATCCATTTTAATGGATTTTGAGTGTGGGCAGGACTGGAATTTTGTGCCATAGCAAAGAAACCAGGATGGAAGTGCCTAGAATACTTATTTCCACAATCAGTGTTCTCAAGAATTTTTCTTCAAAATTGACTTTTACTAACCACTTTGCTTTTCTTGTCCTTTTTTCTCCCCCTTATCTGACTAGGCATTTGTAAACAAACTCGATGAATTCATTCAGTGGCTAAATGAAGCCATGGAAACAACAGAAAACTGGACTCCCCCTAAAGCAGAGACGGATGGCCTTAAACTCTACCTGGAGACACACTTGGTAGGACAAGATTATGCCATAGTTATTGTCAGTAATTGAAATATTTTAACGTTTGGCTTTTTTTTTCCATTGAGGGATGAGAGAGGGGAGAAAAAGGAAGACATCAGGGTATGGCTTTATGTTAATAAAAACAAGCTCTAATGGCATAAAATGAAAGCACAGAAACTGAAAATTTTCCAGTTATTTCAGGTACTACCAAGAAAATGAAACATTCCCTATTTCTAGCTCAGATGTCAAAGCTTCTTTTCCAACGATAGCACTATAAAGGCAAAGAGCCTTGTAATACCAAAAAATATCATTCCAAAATGATATAGGAATCTTGCTACATGAAGCTAGAATAAAAGGTTTTTCTTTCCTTTTTTTCTTTTTGGGAGAATTTTTTTTGAAAGGTAATTGCAGTGACCATTCCAACTAAGCCTTCTAGAATTCTTGTAAAATTAATGAACCTCTCATTATCAAGAGGGTCTGCTTTATCTGTTTTACACTGAATTATTTTAATAAAATATTTAAAATTATGATCTCAATCATTTTTGCAGCTGTATAGGTTTTTTAAGCATATAATTAATACAACTGTCATTATACTTGTCCCTGTCCCTGTGCAAAAGCAAAACCATTGAGGAAAAGTGGAACACACTTGGATGAATATGCTGCTGAATATGTTAGAAGCAAGAATTATAGACTGAGGGACATTTGATGAACCTCATGAGGTTTTTACTGAATGCTTCAAATGGCGATATCAATTACAAAGGGGTGGAAACCAAGTCCTGGAGCTGTGATAAAGCATGAAGACAAACCGCGTTGTCGTAGGAAATGAAAATTCAAGCTTTAAGGCTCTCATCTTTATTCCCTTCACTGAAAGCATAAAATTGACAAAGGCTGTGAACATGAATTCATGGCTACCCAACTGTGGGGCAGGTTGCCTGCCCCCCTTCACATACTTAGAATTTGGATTGAGTCTCATTCTGTAGGCATTCTAAATGAATGAGAGATGAGCAAGGTACCACGGTTGGGCTTTGGATCTTGCAAAAGAGATCCTATAAGATGTTTCTTGCACTGTGTTTGATGTCACGGCAAGATCTGTCTCAAAATCACGCCACTCTATGACAAACAGTCTTTTGGGTGGTAGAGCTTCACAAAACCGTGTGATTCCGTAACGAGTTGTATGGCACTTCTTTTCAAAGACTTGAGTGGATATGTTTAAAAATACCAGTGACCCTATACCTTTTCCTGTATTTGGTTTTTTAAAATATCGCCTGTACTGTCAATTCTGTACTCAAATAGAGGTTCAATTCCACCCCCCCACTTATAAAGGGGGTGTACATTTTGTAATAGCAAGATAAGGATATTCAATGATTTGTGATGTAAATTGTATTAATTAGAATGTCAACTTTTCACTGGTATTGTTCTGACAGAGATTCTAATCTGTGTTTAAACAGGAGTCTATGAACTTTATTTCACATTAAGCACACTGTCTTGATTTCTCTGGATTTAATATTTTATGGCAAACACATTGAGTTTTCGAGGTCCCAGAGGGCACAGGGGCATAAAGAGCCTTTTAGCTTAAGGAAATTTATTGAAATCCAAGTCAGGATAGTAGTGAACAAAGGTCTCCCTCCTCTTTGGGAGTTTGAGTGACTTAGGCCACTTTGTAACCAATGCATCCCCTCCTCAAAGTCACTGTGACAGCACTCCTTACTCTGTTCCTTGTAGTAACCTCTGCCCAACACTGGCCTTCTAAATTGCAGGGCTCAGGTTAAAGGAACTGCTCTCTCAACACTTAGCATTCATTGCTCCCTGGCCCTGCCCTTGCCCTTCTGATGCTTCTCTCCCTGTGCTTCTGCATGTTCTGAAGTAAAAATCAAGAATCCTTACTCATGCATATAACTATTTATTATTTCAAAGATTGATGGAATCACTGAAGAAGAATCTATACTCTACATAGTTGGTGCTTCTTAAATATTGGTGGAAGGAAGGAAGGAAAGAAGGGAGGGAGGAAAGAAAAAGAAGAAAGGGAGGAAGAAAAGAAAAAAGGAAGGGAGGAAAGACAAAGAGAGGGAGGGAGGGAAGGAGGGCTTAGCTTGCTAGATCTTTTCAAATAGGCCATCTTAAGCTTTTCCTCTCCACTTTAAGAAGGTTGTATAGTTGAGTTCATTGAGGAATGCATTTGAAGCCAAAGGATCTGGTTCCAAATCCAAAGTCTCTTGCGTCTTTGGACAAATCATCTGACTCTCTTTGTCTCAGTTTTCTCACCAATAAAATGCAGGTATTGGAATAAGTGAGTGAGCTCTGAGATTCTTTCCAGCTCTAAGTTCTATGATCCTGTAATTCCCAATTACTAAAAGATGATAGTTTTTCTTCTAGGGTTCTGAGTTATATTGATTTAGAAAGAGATATATTGGAGATTTTGTAAATAATCAAAAGAAATTTTATCTCTAGACCTGTCTCTTTAACATAATTTCATGTCATCTATATAATGTCTTCAGGAGAGGGGAGGAATGGCTGTCCTTATCCCAATTCCCTCTGGTACTGTTTAATTGAGCCCTGCATCCCCTCAGGTTTCTAGAGGTAAATCTAAAAGGTAATAGGGTTTTCTTTACCTCTTGGCTTAAGCACCCATTCTGGTGTGTTCTCCCCAATATCAGTCACCAGTTATAGTTAGTTTCTCCCTTATATATATGATTTATTCAATGACTAGTGCCCCAGTTTTAATTTAACTGATTAACATCAGTTAGCTTTTACAAAAGGGTATCTACTGAAAAGATTACAAATGCCCAAGTACAAAATGTTATCCTTACCTGGGACACACTCTTCCTTATATCACTTCAGTCTTTGGAGGAAGTGGATTCAAACTTAAAACAGTTTCTACAAAGTATTCACTCCACTGCCTTTGGGGCAGCTAGGTGGCGCCCTACTGCATAGAGTGCTAGACCTGGAATCAGGAAGATTTCTCTTCCCGAGTTCAAATCCAGCCTCAGACACTTACTAGCTGTGTGACCCTGGGCAAGTCGCTTAACCCTGTTTGGCTCAGTTTTCTCATCTGTAAAATGAGCTGGAGAAGGAAATGAATGACCTCTTTAGTATCCTTGCCAAGAAAACCCCAAACGGAGTCACAGAGCTAGGCATCACTGAAATGACTGAACAACAACAAAAAAATTCACTCCACCAAGTTCACTTCCAAACATGACATGTACTGGACAGCAAGGCTTCCCTTGCTGCAGGTCTCAGGGTCACCTGACTCAGTTGCCTGAAAATCCTGATGTGGATTGCTGTTCCTGGACCTCTGGTAGCTTGCCCTGTTTGCATTTTGAAGCTCACAGAATTGTAGTCATTTCTAACACTCCCTCAACTAAAAGCAGGGAAGAATAAACAAAATAGACATTGAAGCAATAGCAGGGCGATGTACTTGTGGGCTATTCCCACTCCCTGGACCTCCCACTCCCCAGGCCCCCCAAAATAACACCTCTCCTCAGGCATTCAGTATTTCATCCTCCTCACTCAAACCCAACCAATCAAAAGGCCTTTTCTTTACCACATAATAAATGGACTGGAAACATTAGAATGCAAATCCCCATTAGAAAGTGAGTTCCTTGAGTTCAGGAATTTTTTTTTTACCTTTATTTTTACCTTTATTTCCCTAACATAGTTCCTGGAACATCGTAAGCATTTAGTAAATGCTTGATGTGTTGACTGAAATAATTATGGAATACCATTCCACATGTTATAAACTTCCAGAAGCAGGCTTACCAAACATGCGTGCTCCTAGGACTTGGTCCCTCATTCCTATTTAATTTAAAATTCACTTCTGAAATCCTAAGTAAATAAAAGCATTATTCTTTAAACCAAAAGATTGATGTCAAAATGCATATGTATTTGTATAAATACATGAATTTATATGTCTAGGGATGTACAAATGTACATATGAATATCCTCTATACCCATGATACCATATATACATACACATACACATATGTGTATATGTGTGTGTGTGTGTGTGTATGTGTGTATATATATAGATATATATAGGTATATACACATATATACATATATATTTATGACCATGGGCATGCTGGCAAATTAGGGAGTAAATAAACCAGTGTAAAGCATCTAAAAATTATCTACCCTATAGTTAAGTAGTTCTTAGATAGTAAAACAAAATCACCCTGCACCCAATTACCTGCATTTGCTTTGCATATGCACTGCCCTAGTTAATCTCATCTGGAGGCACACTGAAAAACTATAGTGCATACAAATTAGTTTGACCAGCATGGTGAGGGGACCTAAAGCCATTCATTCATTCAACAACAATTTATAACTGGATTTTCTCTGTGTAAAGTATTGTGAAGAGATACAAAAACAATTAAAACATGGTTTCTGCCCTCATGGAGCTCACAAGTCATTGACTGAAGAAAACTGGAATGAAGGGGGAAAGAAGACTTAGGGTAGAAGATGTAACAATTATCTTCAAATATTTGCGAGGTGATTACATGGAAGAAGGATTAAATATGTTCTCAGTAACTCTATGGAGAGGAGAACTGAGACCAATAAGTAGGAGTTACAGAGAGACAGATTTTGACTCAGTAAAAGAAATAAGTCCCTAATGATTAGAGTTATCTAAAAATGGAATTGGTTACCTCATGAGTAGTGAGTTTTTACGAGGTAACCAATTCCACAGAAGTCTCAGGAAGAGAATAAATAACCATATGTTGGAGATGTCATGGTAGGGATTCATTTTTCTCTTTTGGAAATGAATTAGATAATATTTTAGGTCCTTTTAATCTCTAGGATTCTATGATTCTTGGTAAATTCTAGATTCCCCTAGTTTCTTTCTTAATCCAAAACACAACTGAACTATTTACTGTTGTGTACCCCTGAGCCTCAGACCAACCTGATTTGTTTTAATCTTAAAGGGACAGTTCTTTATAATTGAGAGTTCATAAGTGTTGCAGTGTATACATCCACAATTTAAAAATAGATCTGATGCTTTGATTTGAAGGTCGGTA